CTTTTTTTTCTTCCTTTGCAGTGTATTCCCCAGGGCCAAGCATAGTACCTGGTTAAATATAGGAGCTCAATGCATTTTTGTTAAATGAATGAATAAATGAACAACTGAACGTTTCAGTCAAAATCATAAGACATGAAAGGATATGTGAAGTGACAGAAAAGTAGCAAGTAATGTTAGCAGATGCTGAAGGACCTCCTGAAGCAATGGTGTGAGTTTTAAGTAGGGCAGTGACATGATCAGAACCACATATTAGGAAGGGTAAAACTACCTGGGAGATTCAGGGCTGGATGTGAAGGAAGAGGGGCTCGCAGCAAAAGTTAAGTGTTAGTTTAGGAGGGAGGCAATATGGACCAAAACTGGAACAATGACAGAGATACTGTCACATGTTGTAGAGTACACATAGGGTGAAAATGATGGGATCTATTTGACTGTGGCAGATAGGTTGAGGTGACAAATTTCAGTGGGTTTCATTATTTCATTCTCTTAAATTCAGTATTTCATCTTCTCTTAGGAAATGTAATTTTCACTGACATAATTGAGCTGTTATCTTGAGGCATTTTGCTAGGCTTTGGGATTGCAGAAGGGAATAAAATATTTCATAATCTTAGTTTCTTAATTATATATTCTAGTATAATGGTTTTTGAACTTAGACTAAAACTATTTAAACCTAAATTCCACTAAGAGTTATACTTTACAAGTTAGAGGAGCATTTGAGAGCTAGAGTTCAAGATGATATGGCATCAGTCTTGTTCTAATATGTGAGATGGTCTTTTTTTTTTTGTTTTCAACAAAAATGCAAAAGCAGTTTAATGAAGGATAGCTTTTTCAACAAATGATATGGGAGCAACTGGACATCCATAGGTAAAAAAAAATGGACTTCAATCTAAACCCCACACACACTTTTACAAAAATTAACTCAGTGGATCATAGCTTTAAGTATAAAACATAAAACTGTAAAACTTTTTTCAGTGTTTTTTTCTAAGTATCATTGATATACAATCTTATTATGATTGTTTCAAATACACAACACAGTGGTTCAACATTCACCCATATTATCAAGTCCTCACCCACTCCAGTGTGGTCACTGTCCATCAGTGTAGTAAATGTTAGGGAGTCATTAACTGTATTCTCCGTGCTGTACTACTGTCACATGACCAACCTATATTGTGATTGCGAATTATTGTGCCACTTAATCCCCTTCTCCCTACCGCCCCTGCCCCCAAACCTCTCCCTTTTGGTAACCACTAGTCCCTTCTGGGTCTCTGTGAGTCTGCTGCTGTTTTGTTCCTTCAGTTTGCTTTGTTCTTATACTCCACAAATGAGTGAAATCATTTGGAATTTGTCTTTCTCTGCCTGGCTTATTTCACTGAGCATAATAGTCTCTAGATCCATCCATGTTGTTGCAAATGAGAGGATTTCTTTTCTTTTTAAGGCTGAATAATATTCCATTGTGTATATGTACCACATCTTCGTTATCCATTCATCTATTGATGTACACTTAGGTTGCTTCCACATCTTGGCTATTGTATATAGTGCAGCAATAAACATAGGGGTATGTATGTCTTTTTGAATCAGGGATCTTGTTTTCTTTGGGTAAATTCCTAGGAGTAGAATTATTGGGTCCAGTGGTATTTCTATTTTAGTTTTTTTGAGGAACCTCCATACTGCTTTCCACAACAGTTACACCAACTTACATTCCTGAGATGGTCTTTTTTCTTTATCAGTAAGTCTTAATTGATGCCAGTAGTCCCAGAATTAGCTCTGAGGACACACACTTTTACAAAAATTAACTCAGTGGATCATAGCTTTAAGTATAAAACATAAAACTGTAAAACTTTTTTCAGTGTTTTTTTCTAAGTATCATTGATATACAATCTTATTATGATTGTTTCAAATACACAACACAGTGGTTCAACATTCACCCATATTATCAAGTCCTCACCCACTCCAGTGTGGTCACTGTCCATCAGTGTAGTAAATGTTAGGGAGTCATTAACTGTATTCTCCGTGCTGTACTACTGTCACATGACCAACCTATATTGTGATTGCGAATTATTGTGCCACTTAATCCCCTTCTCCCTACCGCCCCTGCCCCCAAACCTCTCCCTTTTGGTAACCACTAGTCCCTTCTGGGTCTCTGTGAGTCTGCTGCTGTTTTGTTCCTTCAGTTTGCTTTGTTCTTATACTCCACAAATGAGTGAAATCATTTGGAATTTGTCTTTCTCTGCCTGGCTTATTTCACTGAGCATAATAGTCTCTAGATCCATCCATGTTGTTGCAAATGAGAGGATTTCTTTTCTTTTTAAGGCTGAATAATATTCCATTGTGTATATGTACCACATCTTCGTTATCCATTCATCTATTGATGTACACTTAGGTTGCTTCCACATCTTGGCTATTGTATATAGTGCAGCAATAAACATAGGGGTATGTATGTCTTTTTGAATCAGGGATCTTGTTTTCTTTGGGTAAATTCCTAGGAGTAGAATTATTGGGTCCAGTGGTATTTCTATTTTAGTTTTTTTGAGGAACCTCCATACTGCTTTCCACAACAGTTACACCAACTTACATTCCTGAGATGGTCTTTTTTCTTTATCAGTAAGTCTTAATTGATGCCAGTAGTCCCAGAATTAGCTCTGAGGGTCTGAAACTCTTAAGTTTAATTTTATGGAGATTTTCAGTAAGATCCTAAAATGATAGGTTGTAGCTAAATGGTGTCCAGCCAATATCTTTCATTAAAGTGAAATAATTATATATAAGTCCCTCTTACTTGGTCTCTTTACTGCTTAATGATCAAATGGAGAACTCAGATTCCAGCTACTCTTTTTGGTATTCTGAGAAGAGCTCTAATACTCAACATGTTGAGGAAAATTTCTTATATTGTCATGCGTTTAATGACCATGTCCTAGAAATGAAAAAAGCCCCAGTTTATCCAGGTTTTTCTTTATGGATGCTTTTAGTGTCATGTCTAAGATCCCTTCACCTAATCCTAGGTCAAAAAGTTTTCCTCATATGTTCTCTTCTAAAAGTTTTATAGTTTTTTTTTTGTTAGATCTAGGATCCATTTGGAGCTAATTTTTGTATAAGATGTGAAATTTGGGTCAAGGTTTATTTGTTTGTCTTTTGATGTCCAGTCACTGCAGCACCTTTTGTTGGAAAAGCTATCTTTCCTCCCTTGCATTGCATTTGTACCTCTGTCAAAACTCACTTAGGCATATTTGTATGGGTCTCTTACTGGGTCTTTATGTTGTTCCATTGGTCTGTGTGTCTGTCCCTTTGAAAATACTGCACTGTCTAGATTTCTTGTGTAGCTTCAAATTGGGTAGTCTGCTTCCTTTAAATTTCTATTTCTTTTTTCCCCATTATTTTAGTTATTCTGGTTCCTTGGCATTTCCATATAAACTTTAAGATAACCTTGTCTGTATCTGCAAGGAATCTTGGGATTTGATCAGAAGTTTATTGAATTTAAAGATCAGTTTGGGGAGAATTGGCATCTTTACTATGTCATAGTCTACTAGTGTCATTATCTTGCACTTCAGGTAAAATGTAGGACCTTACCACCATTTAGACCGCTTTATCGTCTGTAATTAGTTGTCTTAAATACCTCCTTCGCATACATTGAGAACCACATCAGTATCATATCATACTTTTGCTTTTGAACATCTAATGTAATTTCAACAACTCAGGGAGGATAGTCTTACATTTACCTATAAAGTTGCCCACCAACATTAGTTTCTTTTTACTTCTGAAAGTTCTATGTAATTCTTTTAAAATTTGTATTTTACTAAGCTTCTTTTACTTGTTTTACTTTTTCTTTTATTTTTTTTACACATTACAGTTTTAAAATATTGTGTATCTGTCATTTTTATGACCTGAAGTGATTTTGTACCACATTTTGCTGTTTTTTCCTGAATCTCAATCATGATGGCTCTCTTCCTCATGTATTGTGTAAGTTTATTGGGAAAATGACTGAGGGACTATTCTGAAGGGGGTAGTTCTGAGCGGATGTTTTGGTTGAGCTAGCACCTGGGAACACTACCAACCTGGGATCACTTTAAGTTAGTGTACCTGCTTAGAATTAGCATGATTACATGGCATGACAGAAAGGCCATGTTTATAAATTTTTAGGGGAAGCACGCCTGTACCCCCAACTGGAGCCCAGGTAAAAATAAGACACATTCTTGGTTTTTCTTCACCAGTAGGTGCATTTTTCTTCTAGCCTACCTTTTCACCAAGTTGGTTGCCCTTTAAAGGTTTTGATGTTTTGAGGGGCCTAATTTCTACTTCTTTTCATTTCATAGGGTCAAAAACTTATTTTCTGTTCCTCCTGCAGCTTTAACTACAAGCCACTGGCACTGACACCAGAACATGCACCCCAGGGTCTCAGTAGCCTCAGCTTCTATATATTCTGGTTTTGAGTTTTAGCTCCGAGGGATTTTCCTTTCTCTCTTAGAGCTCAAATGTGCTCTCAAAAAGTTGGTACTACTTTGTTCAGTAGTTGTAGTAATTCGGTATCAGAAGGTTTTCCAGACTAGATCATAGACTGTTGGGTTATGGACCCACCTCCTGATTCTTTCCGAACTGGTCACCTGAGGCAGACATTGTGTGCTGTTTCTCAGGAGGAGCTGTAGATGTGACACTTGTCCTTGAAAGGAAGGATTATGGGTATCTTTACCACTGCTGTCATGTCCGCCAAGGAAATAGGCTCAAGAAGAGGGGGAATGACAGGTGGCAAGGGCTTCAGCAAGGTCAAGTAAGAGCAGCACTAAACATGGACAGTGGCATTTCACAATCGCGTGTCTTTGCCAGAGCGGGCTCCAGGGAATGGAGGGGGAAGAAGCCCGTTGTGTTCTAATCTCTGGGAGGATGGTCCTAGACGATTCCCAGTTTTCTCCGAATAATAACTTGTTGTTTATAAGTATGTGGCTGTTTATTTTATATTTTCTTCTTTTCATTCGCTCCGGGTTTCAACCGTGCCTTTGGTTGATTAGCTCTGTCAGAGAAACTGGACTCAGCCACAGAGTGGAGAGCCTGTCCACTGAGTACCTATCCTTGAAGCTTCCATTTATTTCTCCTCAAATGAAGTCAGCAAAAGACAGAACTGAGGAGGGAAGAGCTGAGCTGGGGTGTTAAAGTGAAAGAAGGAAGGTATGAGTTATTGCTGGTTTAACAGGAAGTTTCTGGTCTGTGGAGTTTCTAAAAATTATTATGAAATATTTCAAACTTACAAAACTAGGAAGAGTAGTAGTTCATCAACCCCTATTCACCCGTTTCACCAAAAGAATTTTTCAACATTTTGCCTCATTCATCCCTTTTTCTCTTTCCTTTGATGAAATATTTTAACAAAATTCCTGGCCTCATTTATTGTACATATACATACATATACATATATGTTCTATGCAATGTGAAAATTGTCTCATACACAGTCATAATACCATTATCATACCTGATAGAAAATTGCAGTTCTTTGGTATCATCTGTCATACTGAGAGTATTAGGAAGGCCTTTTGTTTTTAAACTCCTTTGAACACATTGAGATAGTTTCTCCTCTGTTGTCTTTGCACTTGTCATGCCCTGTGTGCTAAGAAGGCTCTGCTCTTGAGACCTTCACACAGTGGGCTTCTCATCATTCAGATCTTAGGTTCAGTATTACCTCGTTAATAGAGGCTTTTCCTAATCACCAGAGTGAAAGCAGTGTCCTCTTTTCCCCGCCCCGTTTGTCAGTCTCATCACTGTTTCACGCCTTGTTGAGCTGTCCTGTTTACATGTTTGTCTTCTCTGACCCCTACATTGTGAGTACCAGGAACATAGGGACCTTGTTGGTCATGTTGCATTTATTGCTCTGTGGCCTAAAGAGGTCCTGGCATAGTAATGAAGCGTTGTTTAGAAATAAGTCAGCTATTAGAGTAATAAGATTCCAAAATCATCTTAATATTTTATAACCATTATCTTCCTACAGCTGATTCCCATTCCAAAACTTTTCTTTCCTCAAGAGCTTTAACCAACAGCTGTGTTTACAAAAAGTGTTGGATTGTTGTCCCTTTCAGGGACATTTAATCTTTTAAATCCTCAAAATATTTTGTAAAATGTAAGTGAATAAAGTCACTTTTGATGTGTTGAGAGGCCATGTTGTTACTGACATAACTCTCATTTGAGATCACTTTATTTGAGCTTGCAGCTAATAAATCTGTTTTGGCTGATAGGAAACAGGATAGAATGATCTTGTAGCCAATGCAGTTTTTAACTGATTATTTGAATTTCTTTAATTTAGTACGTGATTTGTATAGCATTTAATGGTTATATTGTCAGTTGTTGAGAATGTTCTTTAGCATGAGAAAAAATGTAATTCAAACAGATATGATTTTATAGTTAAAGACTTGGATTCTTTTCAAAAGCCTAACATTTTGGACTACAGAAGAGATGCAAGAATGGTATAAAGAATTACTCTATACTCTTCACCAGATTCCCCAGTATTACATTTTATCATTTTTACATTAATATGCCCCCAATAAAGAAATTAATATTGACTTAATGCCATTAGCTGATCTATAGATCTTACTCAGATATCTTCAGATTTTCCAGTCATGTCCTTTATATGAAAAGAAAAACCTCGATCACAGGTAGTATTGTGTTTGTCATATGTCTTTAGTCTGAAAGTTTTTCCTTTCATGAATTTATGTTTTTGAATTTTACAAGCCAGTTATTTTGTAGCAGGTCCCTCACTTTCAGTCTAACTAATATTTCACAAGTGACAGGTTTTTCTTAATGGATCTTATTGGGAGGTGTATGATGATTTGTTCCATTACAGTTTACTGTGATCACTTGGTTAAAGTGCTCTGCCAGATTTCCCCACTGTCAAGATAGGCTTTTCCTCTGTGGATTTAATAAGTATCATTGAGGATATTTTGAGACTGTTTAATGTTCTATTACTCCTCAAACTTCTACCCAGTAGTTTTAACATCCATTGATGAATCTGAATTAATTAGGATGATGATGATTGCTAATGATAATTTTCTAATTCCATAATTTTTTCTACATTTACACAATGTTGGGATTCTAATATAATCAAGAGTTTCCCCTTTTATTTATTTGTTTTTATCAGTATGAACTCATAGATTCTTAGTTAATGGGTTATAAGCTGTTACCAGTTAAAACTTTTGATACCTAAATTGTCATTTAGATAGGAGCCTTTTCAACTGACTCCTGTGGTCGACCATTTGACATGTTCCCATTATTTTGGGGTGAATCCTTACTTTCTGGAACAACAAGATAGTCTAGGCTAGGGCTTGGCAAACTTCTGTAAGCATCCAGATAGTATTTTTGGATTTGCAGGCGATACAGTCGTTGTTGCAACTACTTAAGTCTACCCTCACAGTAGGAAAGCGGCCATAGACAATTCATAAATGAGTGAGCACGACTGTGTTCCAATAAAACTTTATTTACAAGGACAGGTGGATTTGGCCTGTGGACTCTTCTAGGCTTGTACTGTACTTTCCCTACTGCAGTCTCAGGATTGGCCATTTTTCTGAGGAGCCTCATTCCTCTTAGTGGTAAATGTAATTTAGAAACTGAGGTCGGGGCGCTAGATATGCTCATTGTTACTGGGATATTATTGGTTCTAGGCCCTCTTAGAAGACAGAGCTATAATGTAAGAATGTATGCATATATACTGTATAAGTTTTTGTGTGTATGTATACAGACACATCCATATTTCCATATTTATCTACATTATAAACCATAGAGTTATAGCGATATCTCCAATTCCATTTTAATACCACAGGGTTTATTCTAGCTTTTCCACCATTTGTAATTTCTTTCTCTAACATTGATAAACCTGATTCCTATTATCCACAATATATTTGTTGAATCCTAGAATATACAGAAAGTAGATTTAGAATTGCTAACCCATACCTCTGAGAAATAGTAATTTATTGATTAGAGTTAATTTTTATTTACACTTCTTATTTGTCTTTAACTTAAGAGTTTAGTTGAGTACTGTACCCAAAAATTGCTTGGATTAGTTCCCCCCCATCCCTTTAGTATGTTGTGTTTCATTTTAAATATAGTACGGATCACTTATTTTTATTTGAATTGTATTTTAGGCTATTTCTCCATTCTTATTTTATGTGGTTTCCAAAGTCAGAACCTACGAAAAGGTATAAGCAGGGAAATGTTACTCCACATTCATTTCTTTTACCCAGTTCTCACCTCCTTTTCATCCTATTCCATCTACTCCTTGTAGGTAATCATTCTCACTAGTTCTACTTTACTCTTCTGTGTGTCTTTTTGTACAAATGAACAGTTGTGTGTAATACTTGTTTTTTTTTCTTGTTACCTAAAAGGAAGCATACTGTAGATTCATACTTTACATATCCTGTAATTCACAAGCTCAGGAGTTGATCAAAGTAGAGCACTTCTGTGTGGCAAAGGGGGTGGCCTCAGATGAGTCAAGTTACTGGAGGCGCAAGTAGGAGTTTCATCAGGTTATGGTCAAGTTGAACCAAGAACAAGAAGGGAGTAGATCAGGCTCCCCTAGGCATTCTGCCTTGTGTTCAAAAGAAAATAAATATTTTGATAGCAGAGATCTGGTGATACCAATCTGTCTCTTGATCCTGCTGTAATGTAGACTGTTGTCCTCTAATCTAGAGGTTGCCCTCTGTGCCTGATGCACAGTTGCCATCCTGGGACCTCCTTACTCTATCATAATCTGGGAAATTAACTTTGTACAGTTGACCCTTTAACAACATGGGTTGGACTGTGCAGGTCCATTTATTAATAGAATTTTTTTTATATATTGGAAAACTTTTGGGGAGATTTGTGATAATTTGAAGAAAAAACATTTTCTTATCTCTAGCTATAACATACAAAATGTGTATCGACTGTTTATGTTATCAGTAAGGTTTCTGGTCAACAGTGGGCTATTAGTAAAGTTTTTGGGGACTCAAAAATTATATATGAATTTTGGACTGTGTGTGGGGTTAATGCCTCCTAAGTTCAAAGGTACTTCTTTTGTACTGTGTTTTCTCCTCATTGTATCCCATGTCATCCTGTTTCCTTTTTCCTCTGTCATTTTGGTGGAGTACATACTTCAGTAGCTTCTTGGAATTTTTTTAGATCTGCTTTTCTGAAAATGTCTTTATTCCACTATCATACGTGATTATGAATTCCAGGTTAGGAGTAATTGTCTTAAATTTTTTTTTTTTACTACTTTACTGAGGTATAATGTATGCACATTAAATATTTCCAATGCTTAACATTTGTTCCTGGAGACCCAGTGTTTACTTTGGTATCATTTCCCTTCAGCCTGAAGAGCTTCCTTTGGTGTTTGTTGTAGTCCACTTTTGGTGATAATGGATCTTCCTGGTTCTCTGTTATCTGAAAAATATCTTTATTGTCTTCATTCTGTTAAATTCCACTGAAGAATGCTGATGTTTTTTATTTCATTGACAATTAGCTTCAGACCCCAGTAAGTTCAGACTATAAGCCTTGTCTCCTGTAGGTACAAATTTCAATTCAACTTTTTAGGCCTGTATGATGCTGTGCTGAGCTTGTTCTATACATCTACACTGTTAAGGAGCCAGCCTGAGACTTGTGCATGTTTATAAAAATGAGGGGAATTCCTTCTTTAGCTCTCTCCTCTTCTGGACTGCCACTAGCGGCCAGCTGTGCTTGCCCAGGCTCTTTTCCCTGTGTCTGGACTGGCAGTCTGGGATTTCTCTTGAAGTTTTAGCTGCCTGTAGTGTACCACTCCTGTGAGTGTGGTCTACCCTTGGGGCAAAGCTGCCTGCTACCCCCACCAAAAGAAAAGAAATCCAACCCAAACCTTGAAACTCATTTTAGTGCCAGTCCTGTCTCCAAATTTCTACTCCTTCCGATAATGTCCCTCTTTTGTTTATTCTTCAGAATCTTCAGGTAGGTATTTTTTATGTTTCTTTCCTTCAGAGTTTATAGTTGTTAATTCAGTTTATTTTCCAGGGGTTGATGCCAAGCGTGGGTGCTCCTAAATTACCATTTACATCAGGAATTCAGTTGTTGTGATATTGACAAACCCTTTAGTAAGAGATGAAACCTGAAAGGTGGGTGTTTTAGTCGGGATTCTCTAGAAGAACAGAACCAATAGGATATAGATACAGGAAGATATTTATTAT